TGTAGTGTATATTTAGTGTTCAGTAGCATAACGTCCACTGGCAGCTGAATACGAAACTAAATACTAAACGGTATATCTATTTCACAGCTAAGAAATGATCACATGACCTTTACGTAGCGGAAATAACATTTGAAGCCATACAAATTTCATTACACAACTGCACACTTTCCAAACTCTGTAACTGAAACTCTTGTATCCACACATTTCGCGGAACAAAAAAAATGCCATTTCATCTGCTCTTATATACATTTCGCGGCCTATTATAGGACTAAACCCTAACACTAAGAAACCAGATTGAAATACACGAACATTCATAGATTTTTCCCTTTGGAGACTTGCTGTCCTTTGTACTCGAAACCTGCTAAAAGAAGATTGTAAACATCCAAGTGAAAGGAAAAATACACTGAAAGTTCGGGTCCCACGGGACGTACAGAAACCTTTTCCACACATTCTGCTAACTCCAAATGTTCGCAAAGTCAGTCCTAACAAATCGATCATTTCTATACAAGTACATCTGGTCTCAGTTGATATTCATTTAACTGATAAAAAAACTCTTTTCCTGACTTTTTAAAAACGTTTCTGCTGAAAAATTACCGGACAAAAGAAGACCAAAACGTTATTTTAAAAATGCATAAACAGAGCCCACTATCTGAATAGTTTTTCCAAATTTCAGATAGAAATTTCTCATACTTTCTACAGTAAATCATTTAACAATATTTGAATTGTTAGTGTTGATGCATAAATTTTTGTACTTAATGGTAGGACAACAGGGCTCAAATATAAATTTCGGCAGAATGTGAGTCATTAGCTATATTTTTCTAACTGCGTGGTTGGCCTTTGGAATGGGCTGCCTTCAGGTGTGGTCCATGTCGTTAAGGGAAGGTTTCATCAATATCTGACTGATAAGGGCTGTTGTCAAGTGTTTCATTTCAGAATTTAGTGGACAGGATCGTCTAGATGGACCAAAAGGTCCCTTATGTTACGTATAAAGGTACGTGTTTAAATCATCTCTTCCTTGATCCAGTAGCAACAAATGTATTCTACACTTCGACAGCTGCTTAGCAAAGATCAAGAAATTCACCCTAAACAACGGCTAAATACACACTACATCATACCAAACAACGGCTAAATATACACTACATCATACTAAACAACGGAAGTTGAAGAAATGAGAAATACTGCAACAGATTTTTTGCAACACGATTGATTATTTAGTAATAACTGTACGTTGTTGTCTTCTTCAAATATCAGTACAAGATATGGATTTCGTTTGTAATTTTGCAATTCGATCATGTCATAAAACCTCTAGAAAGCAGCGTGGCTAAGTGGCTTCACGCGCTTTGTGTCCACCCAGCTGTATCAGCGGATCCTCTGTGTGTTGGGAGCAGAGATGAAAGTCTTCCGGATATATCCGGAA